GGAAGGAAGGAAGGAAGGAAGGAAGGAAGGAAGGAAGGAAGGAAGGAAGGAAGGACGGGCCAAGTGGGCACCAGAAGCAGCAATTCACTGCCCTTTTGCCTGGTGCAGCCCCCCCACTGCCCCCCCATTAGCTGCCAGGTTGTGCTACTTCCTGGCAGGCAGGTGCCCTGGTAGAGTGATAAGGTGGGTGAGCCGGGCATGTGGGAAACAAGATTTGGCATGGCATGGAGGGTTCGGATCAGGGACACTGGGGCTGCAGTGGGGGCGGGCGTGGGGCGTGGAGCAGGCCTTGCCAGGAGGGCAGTGACTCAGCCTGGGTGGGGGCGTCTCCTGCAAGCACGTTCTGTTGCAAACCAAAGCTATTATTATCCTCATTCCCCGGCGGAGAAACAGCCAGACCTTAGCCTGAAACAGAAAAAACAGGACTCAGCGGTGGCGTTGCCAGCTCGGCATTGGGACAGCTTTTCCAGGAAGCCGAAGCAAGAGTTGGCCAGAGCATGCGCAGATCTCCGGGACGCTGCAGGGGGATCCCTGAAGCCCTCCCCTTATCTCAGGCTCGCAAGGAGGAGAGGAGTCAGAGGGGGAGGCTGTGTTTGCAGGGTTTCTGGCTGAAGACCCTCCCCACCCATGAACAGCCCCCCGCAAGAAGATGCAATTGCTTGGGTGCCCACCCAGCCACCCTCTGGGGAAGTCCAGACTTCCTGCCTGACTAAGCACGAGGACTTTCCCCGATGGACGGCGCACTCACCGCCGCCCACGCGACACCTCTGTATGGTGAGGGTTCCCCTCTGCTCTCTAGAGGAAGAAAGGTTTGAAAAACCCTGGACCCGCCATCATCACCTGCCTCCCCAGCTCCGGAACTCCAGCCTCCCCAAGGAAGGCCGTGGACGGCTCTGAAGGCCTGGACCGCTGTAGGCAGATCGAGCCAGTGAGCCAAGCTGCACCCCGGCTCAGAGAAGAGATAGAAAGCGTGAACAGCTGTGGGCAAACGGCTTGGGAAAAAAAGGAGGGGGTTTTCTGCGCTGAGGATCACGAGCTCAGGGGGGTCTGGGGACCCGCCGAGAGGGGTGGGGAATTGGATCCAAGTCTTTTCTAAACCCAGATCCGTCAAGCAGAAGCCAGCAAAGCACAGGGAAATTCTTCTCAACCGGGTATGGTGATCGACTACGGCTCCCATCACCTTCAGCCAAGCTGGCTTGGAATCATGGGAGCTGTAGTCCAAGGCCTCCAGGTTGAGGGAAAGCGATGTTGTGGTTCGAGCGACTGATCCAGTCCAGAACATCTGGGTCCAAGGAGCCAGAAGCAACAGGCGCATTTCTGCACTGTCCTACATTAAGGGGCGTTGCAAGGCCAAAGGGGAGTTTTGAAAGGAGACCCCACCTGCACATGCCCCCAGTGCCCAACAGCCCCCCCCACAACACAGCCCCAGGTGTCAACCCCCGTGTCTTTGCATGCAATGCTCAGCGTATCAATCTTCCTTACAACACCCTTGTAAGGTGGGACAGAATGGCTTCTTAGGAGGTGAAGTTGCACCGGGGGGGGGGAGGCTCCCTAAACTCTCAATTTCTTATTATGGGAAGGGAGGGGAGGATGGGTTTCGGCAGGAAGATAAACTTTCTAAAGTTTGTGTGTGCGGGGGGGGGTTGGATTTTTGAAATGGGGCAAGGCAAAGCAGAAACTCTCTCTAGGGGTTGACGAAGCGCAGAAGGAGAAAACGGAAGACGGAATAAAAAGGAGAGAACGGGAGCGTTGCCGAAATCACATCCGGAAACGGGGAGGACCGATTCCGTGATCAGATGCTTCCGACAACGTAGGCAGAGGGAGGAATGAACTCCGTGCATGCTTTCCTGTCTCTCTACGCCATTCCTTAAGGAGGTGGGAAAACTCACGGGCTAAACCAGGAGCCCCAGAAGCTTGCACACTCCCCCTGGTGTGGCACACTCCCCCTGGTTTTACCCAAAAGGACGGGCTGAACTTTTCACTCCCAGCTATAGAAAAGACTGCAAAGGGTTTGGGGGGGAGAGAGAAAGAGAGAGGGAAAGAAATGGGCAGGGAATTATCCGGGGTGGGACTCGGCCCGCAGGGCAGCTGGGTGGGGTTGGCGAAGTGGGTGTGAGTTGGGAGCAAAAAATGGGCACTTTGGAACAGGTTGTGCTGTGTGCGAGGGGAGTGTGTGTGCACGCGTTAGGGCTTGATGACCTTCAAATCCAGGTCCCGCCAAGGCACTGGGTTGCCGTTCCCATCATCCCCAGCGAGGATTTCGCCAAAGGGCCCTTCAGCGCATCCCTGCGCTCCTTTTGGGGAGAACTAATAACACGAATGTGATGTTCAAAAAAAAAACGAATTCAGAAACAGCCCTTTGGGACCAAACCGAGCTCTGGAACAACAGTGCCTGTTGGGGAGCGGTGCCAAGGGAGAAAGCAGTAAACAACAGTTTCTGAGCATGCACAGAGTTCTGTTCTTGCCTGGCTGAATTGGGGAGTGTTGGGACGAAGGGGCAGAGGGGAAGGGAAACATTTCTAATAAAAGCTGAAAAGCCTGCACATTGTAAACTATTCCTTTTTTAAATATCTGGTCCAGTCTTTCAGCATCACAGTTTTGCTCCTTCCACAGGTGGGTAAGAAACCGCCAGACTGGGTACAACCCCCTTAAAAACCCTGGTGTGCCTAATTTAAATCCTTCGCTTTAAATTGTGCCCCTCTTTTTAGGTGCTTCGGGCCCGGCGTGCAGCGTTGGCCGGGGAGGGAGATTTGCGGGCAGCAACATTTGTGCACGGAGCACGTCACGCCAAATCAACGAAAGCCGTGAGTCACCCGGGGGAAAAAAACGATATTTTTTTCAGACGGTGCCCCAGAAGCATCCTGAGCTCAGCAACCGCCCCGAGGCTTTTCTCCTTAAAAAAAGACCTCCCTTTTGCCCCAAAGACCCCAACTCAGTGTGCCAACCAACCCGAACAACGGTGCACCCCTGTGGGCTAATTTGCTGCTCCCACCCTCCATCGCCGGGGACCGGGATTTGAATTCGTGTCCTTAAAGGAGCAGGAAGGCACCGCTGGCTTGGTCGGAATGCCTCTCCGAGGAGATTCAGACCGGAAGAAGCATCTTCGGGACTTGGGCAGAGGAATCGCCGGTGCCCCAGAAAGGGTGCCCCTGTGCTTACCCCATCCGGTTCCCATGTCGCTGGCGGAGAGCAGCTGAAATGTCAGGGCCCCAGCAGCTCTGCCTGACCTACTTCTCCTTCTGACTCATCACCTGCTTTTCTTTTCCCCTTCTAGAGGAGGGGAACTTGCCTGAGTCAGCCCAGCTGTTTTTTTTAGGGGAACACCCCTTTTCAAGGGGAGGGTGACGTGCCGTCCCCTGTCCCCAAAGCTTTGGGGAAGGGGATCCCTCCCGTGCAGGGAGAAAGGGAGAGATGCCGCCTGCAAAGGAGGAAAGAGCCGGGCGGCTTCTCTTCTCGATGGCAAAACAGGTCCCTGGCGTCCTCCGCGTGGCACGTGTGGCAAGGGAGGGCCTGCTACGAGCTCTGTGACATCTTGGCTCAAGGAAAACCAGAGAATGGTTGGGCAATGCCCGTGCCCTTCCCCGCCAGCCCCAAAGTTCAGGGTCAAGCATCTCCCCCAGCCCAGAGTTCACCTTCTTCCTCCTTGGCACTGCCAGCTGGCTGGCAAGATGCCCAGCTGGGCCTCACCTCCCCGAAGGTTCGGCCTCCTGGCCAAAGGCAGCTCCGGTTTCAAGCCAGGAGGGTGGGGAACGGCCGGGGGGTTGCCATGGAGCGCCTGCCCTCTCTCCTTGGCCGTCACCCTGGGAGGGGGGCACCTCTGGCAAAGCGCTGGGTGGGGCCAGAGGAAGATTTCTCAGCGGTTTCATCAGCCACCCCCCCAAGGAGGCATTGCTGCCTCCCCGCAGCCAGGGCAACTGTGCCACGGGGGCCGCAGCAGGTCGGGCCTGCGGCAGTGATGGGAACTGGGCTCAGGAGTTTTTGAACCGGGCCCCCCGTTTTTGGGGTATGCCCCTGGGTCCCTTCCACGTCTTGTGGAAAGTTACAGAAGTTACAAGTGAGACCCCAGCCGGATAAATGGGGTGCTGGGCTTCCACCCTCGCTTGCTAACCCGAGGGTGCCACGGGGGAACTCCAGGGACCGTGAGGCCAGCCACTCCAACGGAGCCCTTCGTCCTGCAGCCGTTCTGTATAAGCAAAACGGTTCTGGGTCAGCCTCCAGCTGCCCCAATCCTGTCCAGAACAGCCCCTGAACCGGCGGCCACTGGATTGGGAAACTCTACAGCACCAGTTGAATTTCTGCCTGCCACAGAGAGGACTTACTGCTCCGGCCTGTTCAGAAAGAAGTGTTGGGATTGGGAGTTAAACCCCAAACTCTCACGCTGAGGTCAAGATCTTCTCCTGGGCTGTTTGTACTGCCAAGAGAAACAAAGACTAACTTCCTTTACACTGCGTTTCATCACTGGTTTAAAAAAAAAAAAAAGTTTGCATCCCTGTTATTTCCCATATGGGGTAGAGAACTCTGTACATGCTCTGAGTTCAGGCCCTCTGCACATTCCTGCCTTTCCTCTCTCCCATGCAAAACCACCCCGGGAACATTTTAGTACCTTGGAACAATCTGAAGTCTTGGGAAAAAAACAACAGGAGCTGAATCTTCTCCGGCAGAGAAGGAAGTCCAATTAAATTTCGTTTAAAAAATTAAAAATTCCAGGCGCAGCGGAGAAGCCGCCTGACGCGGGTCGAGTCACCAAAGACATCTCAAGGCTGGGGTTCATTTTGGTGCAGCGCACGCCTCCCGCTTACCTTGCTGGATAAACTCTCGGCTTGCTCGCTATGCACTGCCTCTCCCCCTGGGGTTTTGCACGCACGCACGCACGTGCAAACCGAACCAACCACCTTCAACCCTCTCCAGCTTCATGCCACCCCCTTTTTCAGTCCCCGGAGCTTCCACATCCAGGACACCTGGGGACATTCAGCAGGTGACTGCTGGGCGACACACCGCACTCACCTTTGTGCTGCCAGCTGGGAGCATGGGAGGGGTG